TGACAGTGATCCACTGTAGAGGGCATCAGAAGGACCACAGCTCAACCTCTGAGAGAAATCAAAAGGATGACCGAAAGGCAGAAGCCACAGTGCTGACACCCCCCACCCCAAGCCTGTCCCTGTTACATTTCAATAAGACACTAGAGCCACTAGGACGATGGACGCCCAACTTAACATGTATGTTGCATTGCATTTGTGTAAGCATGCAGGTACACTCGCCTGTGTGCACACATATGGAGGCCAGAGCAGGACATCTGGGGTCTTCTTCTCTTGCTCTTCGCCTTATTGCCTTGATGGTCTCTCAATGAATCAATAGGTCACTGTTTTGTCTAGGCTGGCTACCCAGCGGACTCTCAGGATCCACCTGCCTCCATGCCCCCATGTGGAGGTTACAGGCACACATAGCCATGCCTGGATTTTGAATGTGGATACTGGGCATTCAAACCCAGATCCTCCAGCTTGCACAGCAAATATTCTCCCTACACACCAAGCCGTCTCCCCAGCCCACCTCCCATCTTTTGACAGGAATCAGCTTAATGACAGCCATCAAGCTGGTGTGTCAGACATGTCCCGTCTGTGTAGTTAACAGTCCTAAACCAGGAATGCCTTCCCTGATTAACCCTATTCAAAAACAGAACATTTGTTCCGGCAAGGACTAGCCAGGGCTAAAGGGAACTCCTAGTAGCAGTAGATACCTCTATGGGGTGGATCGAAGGTTTCACTACCCACTAAGGTGGTTAATGGATTCCTCAGAACAATTATTTCCAGATTCAGCCTCCCAAGGTCACTCCAAAGATGGTCACGACTGCCCTCTACTACTTAGGTCACCCAAGGGGTCACACAGTAATACCCACATTCCAGCAGACCTCAGTTTTCTGGAAAGGGCCGATCAGACTTTTAACTATTCATTGGCTAGCTTGTGCCAAAAGACCTTAGAAAATGGCCTCACCCTACTCCTAATACCCCTGATGGAGATAAGAAACACGCCATACATTCAAGATGACCCCTATGAAATGCTGCAACTCTCTTGGCTAACTTGTGCCAGGCGACCTTAGAAAATGGCTCACCATACTCCTAACAGCCCTGATGAAAATAAGAAACACATCATGTGCTCAAGATGACCCCTATGAAATGCTGCACCTCTCTCTGCAGAGGCCTGCTTATTGACCCTGAGGCTGTCCACCTACTAAGGTACCTCGTTGACTTGGGCCAGTTTCTACAAGCCACCCACGAGTACAGGACTCCAAGTCCTTTAAGCTCTAACCTCACCCCTGGAGGTTAGACCAGGGGAACAAGCCTTCATACAAAACCTGGGTAAAAGGGTTTTATTATTTTTTTAGCTGACTCTGGCAGCTATATAAATTGCTCAAATGCTTAGCTGGATTCAGCTCTCTAGCGTCAAAGACCCCTCCATCCTTCTGTGCTGGAAAAGCCCACCAAATGGCTTTGAGCCACAAGACAATATGAAATTCTTCTTCAGAGGACACACTGACCAAGCAGATGAGTGACAGTGGATGGGTGTGCTCCGAGGCAGTCTCTGTTCTGGGTAGAAGTTTCTCTAGGATTGCCCCCTCTTAGAGTAGATGGTGAGTACCTGCTCACTTACCCTAGGGCTGAATCATTCTTTGGCGTGCCAGGCTCACCCTGAATGAGCCCTCCTCTGCCTTTTGCCATCACGAACACTCTACAAACCTTTCTTTCGACTCTTCTGTTCCCTCCCATGTTCCAGCATCTTAAAGAACCCACTGCTTATGACCTAGACAGTCCAACTGCTTCTCTCTGAAGTCTCACCCAGCTACTGGCTGTGTCTCCACTTCAAGATGGAACCACATACAGCCAGCATCAGCCTGAAGAGTGGGCTTTAGGAAACACACGGAAACATGAGGCTAGTCTTTTGGTCCTCTGCCAGTTGGTGGCTATTGGCCCAGAAAGAAAGAAAGAAGAAAAGAAAAGAAAAACTTGAGAAAAGTGGCTGGAAACTGGTCCACTCCCATACTAACTACAAGTGGAAATCCTTTCCTCCCTAATGGATCGTTGTTCATATACGGGAAGCAGCTGCCCGCTTTCCTTTCTGTATATGTGATGTGGTGAAGGGGCACTGGCCTGTGGGTGAGACACTTACCTGCCTATCTTTGCTAATGGAGTTCCTTGCTGGGGACTCCACAGCTACTTATCATTTGACTGGGATTAACCTTAAAGATATCTGTAAAGACGCTTTGCTCTCTGGTGTCTTACCAAACTTCTAACTCATGAATGATCTCGCTCCCCTTTTTTCCTGAGAAAGGCCTACCTCTAGGTCACCCTAAGCCTCTTGCCTATAACAAGCTACCAAGGACGGTTAATTTCCCTTTACTGGCATAGGGGATAGTTTAGCAACCTAGAGCTCCACTTGGCTTAGGCTGTGCACAACGCCTCTCTCCTAATACTGTGCTTGTCAGCCAAGACCTTCCTCAGCTGCATGTATTGTTCACATCGGTAAACAATGTCCCTTGCAACTTTTTAGCAACCCACGGATCCTCATATGGGTGGAGCTGTACACACACTCCACTCTGAACAACGGAATAAGTTTCTCTTCTCCCAAATGACCAATCACCAAACTTAAACAGACTCTATTCAGTCATATTCTTCATATGTCCAGATATGTGACTAGGAAGGCATTCCTGACCTGAGCTAGTTTGGGATGAGTGTGCAGTAAGGCAAACTGTGTCCTCATGAATCTTAAATGAGAATCCCCGACTTACCATTTTATGACTACGCATTAATTTCACACTGTGGAAAGGGGCACAACATAGTACAGAAATGGTTATATAATTCAAGCTGTCCATCAAAATAGAGAACGGCCCAAAGTGGGCCCCTAGGACCAACCTCCTCCTCCTCCTCTTGAACCCCATAGAGGGAAAGTTCACACAATAACCAGGCCCTTGACTTGTAGACTCGATCTCTATCTTGACAGTGCATCTTTTTCTCATCTGTCAGCACTTTGCTTTGAATAAAGAACCCTTGCTACTTTGCAGTCTGTGTTCTCCTTTATTCATTCTTGGATAAGATGGCAAGAACTTGGAAGCATCGGGCCCAGAGTCTGACCACTGTAACAACTAGAGTCTAGGCTCCTCTCAGTCCCTGTGGGGTCCTAAAAGAGGTCATTGGTACTTCCAGAGCCTAGAAAAGCAAGCCCAGCCACTGAATTTGGGGTCCAATTTGGCAGCTCAGGGATTGATTCTACAGGGCCAGACTTGGGAGTAATAAGCCCATCATTTACTCAGATCCATATTTAGTTGGTTTTTTTTAAAGAATTTCATACAAATATTATTTTTTACATCATTTCCACCTCTTATATGTGTATATAAGTACAGATTAATAAATCTGTTACTAAATGCTGCTAGTATAAGTATGTGTTTAGGGGTGACTGCTCAAACTCAGGCACTCATTCCCAGAAAAGACTGGTTCTCATTTCAGTTATGTACTGTCTGCTAATTGCCTGATACTCTTCTTGTGGGGGTGAGGCCTTAGGAGACTTCCCCGACCTGTGCTGGCATGTCAGCTGGTGTTGTCATTGTGCAGGTCTTGTTTAGACAACCTTATCTTTTGAGGTCACATCGATGCAGCTTCTCTGTCATAGAGAAGACATTATCTCACAGTAGACTTCCTGGTCCTCTGGCTCTTCCAATCATTCTCCCTCCTTTTCTACAATATTCCTTGAGCCTTAGGTGTGGGGTTGTGTTGTATCAACTGGGGTTGGGCACCCCATAGTCTGTTGTCATCTACATGTTGATAAGCTGGAGCTTCTTTCACGAGGAGTGGGGGTTACCCTGATCTGCAGGGAGAAGGATCCCTTTTTACAATGCACTCAGAAATTATACTGGTTTTGGAAGGTGACAGTGGTAGAGTCCCCTCTAAGACCCATGGGGTTTATGGGACCAGGCATGCATGGGGTTTACAGGACCAGGCATGGAGTCTGTCCTGTTGAGCAGTCCTTAAGTCCAATTAGTTAGTTGTTGGTTACCCTCAAGACCCAAATGCCCCGATTGCACCACCACAGATGCTTTGCCATGTAGTTATTGTTGTGGTTCGTAGGCTTACAGCTGGATAGGACTGTTGGCTGTTTTTATCCCTTGGCAGTTTTCAGAGCATTTTTGCATACCATGAGAGCTAGTTCTCAGAGAGGAAGCTTTCATAGAAGATCCAGCTTGATTCCTCCCCCCAAGTTCGGTGTCCAAAGTACAAGGTGTCTTCAGCAATAGGGTCTTGCCTTCAAGTTCTGTGAGCCAATCAAGGGCAAGAGAAATGGCCCACACTGTTTTGGGAGTCCCTTCACTCCCCTGACCAACAGCCCAAAGAGCCCTTTCCCATGACTGACACTAGAGAGTTTCCTAGCCTATGGTTCTTGAGGGCAGCATTATCAGCCCAAGTGGAATAACTTTATTCAAACTATACCTATATTCATAAAACACACACCTATGTATGAATTTTTAAATAGCTATTTTATTTCACGTATGTAAATATTTGCCTGCATTTAAGTGTACCATGTGTTGTGTTGTTGGTTGTTTTACTCTTTTTACTCTTTTGGGGGGCCCGCCACCCAGCTCCCAATAAATCACACAAAGTCTTATTCTTTCCTATAAATACCCGAGCTTAGTATGGCTTGTTCTTTGCCAGCTTTTCTTAAAATTATCCTGTCTACCTTTTGCCTCGGGGCTTTTACCTTTCTCTATTTCTATTTTTTTTTTCTTTATTTCTTACTGGGTGGCTGGCACCTTGGGTCCTCCTCTCCTCCTTTTCTTGCTCGTTGATCTCTTTCTCCCCAGGTTTCTCCTGTTACTTATCCCCTCTGCCTGCCAGCCCTGCCTACCCTTCCTCCACCTTGCCATTCAGGTCTTTATTAGACCAAGCAAAGTAACACAGGTTCGCAGAGTTAAACAGATGCAACATAAAAGAATGCAACACACCTTTGCATCACTAAATACAGGTGCCACAGCAGAAACAAATGTAATACATCTTAAAATAATATTCCACAAAGGCGATGTAGTGCTTGCAGAGGTCAAAAGAGGGAATCAAATCCCCCTGGAGCTGTAGTTACAGATGACTGTGAGCTGCCCTATGGGTGCTGGGAATTGAACCCCATTCTCTGCAAGAGGAGTCAGTGCCCTTAAGCCCTTTGTAATCTCTCTAGCCCCTATGGCTTTTTCAAACACTCTTAATGGTATATCCTTCCCCATTCCTTACCTTGTGTTGGCCTCTCTCCCTGCTTCCCAGTTAACTGCCCCATTTTTCTCATACCCCCCTTCATAGCGCCCATGTTCTACTACCCCCTCAGTCTTCCCCTACCCCTATCTATGGTTCCTTTTTACTCTCCTGGTTTCTATGCTGACTCTAGGTTATATATTCACATCTAAATCAAGAATCCACAAATAAGAGAGAATCTGCGGTGCTTGTCTTTGGGATCACCACAGTGTAATAATTAGGAACTTATCAGAGAACCCAACCTTAAGACCTCAGACTACTATCTTCTCAATAAGCAAAACTGCCAGATTTTCCAGGTTTCTATTAGACATGTGAGTATAAGGCCTGCCTGATATTATCTTTCATCTGGAGTAGAACTTCCCTCTATGAGACACCAGACAACTCCCTGGCCAGGAACATGCCTCTTTGCATTTTTCTATATAGAAACATACCCGCCTCAAGCAAGCAGCTTCCTTGTTAACACCACCCTGAGCGGATTACTTGGGGTCTAGGTCTGACAGCCTAACCACTAGGGGAACTACCAGGAATTCAACAATAGCTACCAAAAGAGACAACCAGGGCTCTTAGGGAAATAGCCCAGGGTCTCACCTACATCCAAGATCAATTAGATTCCCTTGAAGAGGTTGTCCTTCAAAGAAGAAGGGGCCTGGGATGGAACAATAGCTCAGCCAGCTTAAGAGCAAATATTGCTCTTTTAGTGGGCCAGAGTCCAAGTCCTAGAAGCCAGGCCAGGCAGCTCACAACCACCTGTAAGGACAGCCTTAGAGGTATCAGATGTGTCTGGCTTCAGAAGGCACCTGCACTCATGTGCACATACCCCCACACACACAAACACACATGTACACACAATTACAATAAATAAACCCAAAAATAATAAAAGTCTAGAAATAACAGTATGGATGGGCCTTAGACTGACTTCTGGCATGAAAGTGGGTAAGCACTTTCCAGGAAAGTGCTGCTTCTAAGTTAACAAGTCAGGGACAGTCCCACAAAATGTCAAAAATACCCTTGAAGGCAGTACTGGCAAACACTTGAGTAATACCTTCTCAAGCACAGGTTGGAAATCTTGGGTCTCATTGGTTGGCCTCCTTCCTCTGGTTGTGTCTGTTCTACCTTTAATTCTACTGACTCTTGCCCTCTCCCAGGTCTTCTCAATAAACAGATAGTTCATTTCTTCCAGGATTCAACAAATCTAGCTCCAAATGGTATTATAAGGAGACCTCAGGCCATCTTCAGAAAGAGACTCAGATGTTGATGAATGACCTTACTGGAACAATGGGAACAGTGGCCTGATGAGTTCAGCAAGGAGAATACTCCTAGTCCCCACTTGACCATCTGGAAAAGGAATCGATTGGACAATTTTCAGCCCTCCCCAAGGTAGTCTCCTTAGAAACAACAGTTGGAGAGACCATCTTCTAAATTTTACAATGCCCCTATTTCAACAGAAAGCAAAAATTTATTTTTGCATACTTATAAAGATTTAAGGAGAAAGTTCTCTCAGAGGGAAAGTTGAGGCAGATTAGTGTAGCAACAACTCCAGTGACCTAGTCAACTCTCCTCGAAAGAATGTCTGTGTGTCCTTCCCCAGCACGGCAACACCTTGTTCCACCCCATCAGCAATTAGTTTTTGGTCAGATACCTGCTTAGAGACAAAGAAGGCCAGCTAACCCACTCTATAACCCACTCATTAGCAGGAGTGCAATGAGGACAAGTCTGCCCTGAGATGATTTGTCAAAGGAAAACTATTACCATCTCACGAATATGCATTATAGGGATATTTGCCTACAATTAAGAAATATATGGCCTGCGCACACATAGAGCATCCAAAGTGTATATGTTTAAAGTGGGGTTTATGGCTCAAGTGTGCAGAACATCCCAAGTTATATGATAATCCATCTGTCAGCCAAGTCAAGGGTCCATCTAGTTCCCACACCTGGGGAGCAGCTCCTCTCCCACCCCTTAACTCAAAAGAACCTTGAAAAACAAGTAGGGAGCCTGCAGCCATCGTGATAGAGCCTGATACTGGCTTGCATGGTATCTACTTTGTCTTCTAACAAAACTACCTGCTCTCAGTTCTGTGTACGTTCAAGAACCCGGAACTCAGAGCTATCACAAGACTCCACATTAACACCACCAATTGTCCTTCCTGAGACTGGTCACCTGGAGTGAGACTCCAAGGACTGTTGAGAGCTGGGCTCTAACCATACGTTTGTTCAAAGCATTGCCAGTCAGTGGGTCAAACTCCGAACAGTTAGGGTCTGACAATCATAGAGTGGAGGTAGGGTTCCTCCTTATTTGGGGCTTTTTGTCTACACTGGGTATACATCCTCCTGGGGGCCCTGAAACCAGCCCTGCCTTCCCAGAATGGCAGCCCATGAGCCATTATGCACTCTGGGAGTCTCTACTGGGAGGATTCATCTGAGTCCCTTACAATGCCACCCTCCCTGGCACACACCCTGTGCCCCTGCCTCTGTACAATGCCTGGGGGCAGCTGTGTGTCCTGAGACAGTCCTTCCAGAACTTGGGACATCAGCTGTACTCCACAGTGAGCGAGGAAAAGCCACCATGAAGCTGGTGAGCATCTGGAAGCTGAGCCATTTTGTGTCGTGTATGTTTAAATAGCATTTGCTCCCTAATTTTGTGTTGCTCAGGGTTATGTTAAAATTAGTATGCCCAGGAAACAGCAATGAGGAAGATGGCCTAGAAACCTTTTTTAGACAGCGGGGGGAATGCTGGCCTGCTTTTCTCGGTGTGTACAGGGACGGGCCACAGAGTGAACCAGAACTGACAAAGATGTGTGTCTCCTTACTGCTGTCTTTTCTGTGCCTGGCAAGGAGCAGATCATTGGGGGTGATCTCCCTGTAACACCCCTGTACTGTCAGTCTCCTCCTCTAAGGACTACCTTCCTCTGTCCCTCAACATCCCAAATGGTCCCCAAGCTTTGAGTTCCTCATGCCTTCTAGGCCATAATAGATACACAAGTCGTTGTATGAAAGCCCTGGTTTTTCCTTTCATCTTTCTCCTAGCTACCACCTACAGGGACTCATCCAATGTCCTTGGAAGTCTATCCAGTCAGGGGATGACAGTCAACACACATTTCTAACCTGATTATGACATGAGTGTGATCCCAAGTTGCCACTTAACAATTCTTTCCCATTCCTTGGGGAGGGGGTGCGTGCTAAGGCCTCCAGGTGGGAGTCAGAAGGCAGGATGTGGTTCTTTCCTTCCATCACATGGATCCAGGGGATCCAACTCAGGTCATCAGGCTTGGCGATGAGCACCCTTACCTGCTGAACCAACTCAATAGCCCACGCTTCACTTTTTGATTTCAAGGTCTTGTTGCTAAAGCTGGTTCCTGGTTCCTGATGGCACAGAGCACAGTCATTCTCCAACTAAGGGGTTCACACCCCAACACCCAGAATGACTGGCTAAGAACTCAGATGATGCTAAATCCTATATATGCTGTGGTTTGTTTTGTTTTTTCATGTACACTGTGATGGTCAATCTTGACTGTCAACTTGCTGAGATGTAGAAATCACCTAGGAGACAAAGCTCTGTCTGTGAGCTTGTTTCTACCAAAGCTGAACTGAGGCAGGAAGACTCACCCTGAATGGGCAGCACCATCTCACAGGCTGAGATCTCAGACTGAGGGGAAAGGAGAGAGCAAGCGGAGCATGAGCATTCATCACCGTCTGCTTCCTGACTGTAGGTACAATGTGACCAGCTGCTTCACTTTCCTGCTGCCCCAGCTCTCGCTGCCAAGAAGAACTGTGCCCTCACAGTAAACTTTCGGGCATTTTTGTCACAGTAATGAGAAAATTAACTAATACACACATATACAAATGATAATTGAATATTTTGTTTTTTAAGTATTTATTTTTTTATTACGTGTATGTGTCTGTGTGTTGATGTGTGGACATGACTGTGGATGTTCATGGAGGCCAGAAGAGGGCCACTTGGTATGGGGGCTAGGAGCCAAATCTGGGTGCTCTGCCAGATTAATGAGGGTCCTTAACCACTGGGCCATCTCTCCAGCTCCATGAAGCTTCATTTAGGTATTGGACACGGCAAGAGAGTGACAATTGTAACTGGTGGTAAACTGGGACAATTCCGACAATAGCGTGAGTGTTGTATGAGTGTAGTCTCTTCTCAGCAAGTGTCTTATTGTGCTATACTCACCTTCTCCATCTTGTGATGATGCTGGATAGATAGTTCAGTGTGGACAAAGTGCTGAGCCGAGGGTGGCGGTGCCAGGACTCCTTAGGCCAATGAGTAAGAGTCCCTTGAACACAGGGTTTTAATAGCATAACTGTCCGTGTGATAGAACAGGCAGAGGTAGCTATAGATGAATACTGGGCAGTGTATTCAGTATGAATGAGCTGAACAGTGGCAAGGCTCACTTCCCAGGAAAAGCGTAACAGGGCGGTGTGTAAATTAAAATGCACGTACTGTTTCCTTCTGGAATTTTCCATATTAATGTTTTCAGACTGTGACTAACCTAGGGTGAGCAAAGTCCTCAGAAAGCAATATTGTGGATGAGGAAAGGGCACTGTACCCCATTCTAAGCCAGCCCATGGCACCAGCTCCGCTACTTACTAGGCTGTGTGATCCAAACTGATCGCCCTGTGTCTCAGGTCCCCAATACAGATCACGAGACAGCCAGCACGCTTACACTGCACGATTAAATGTGCTTTTATGACGGGAAGAGCTTTGAGAAATGCTTGGGTCACGAGAAGTGCTAAAACAAACGAACCCCCCAGCTAACAGTATTACTGCTTTTGCATTCCCTGCTGCTGATAGGTGTGTTGGTTGGGCAGCTCTCTGTAACCTCACACAGCGTGTTGTGGACATCCTCGCTAAGTGTCCTCCTGTGATTGTCCTTGAATTCCTCTGGCTCACTCACTCCACAGGGGTGTTGAATAACTTCCGAATGATGAAGCAGCCGCTCTCAAGCTTCGGGGCAGCTCCAGCCACCTAGGCCACTTCCCTGGAAAGAACATGTCTGTCCTTCCTGGGCGGCTGTGGCGGGAGTTCCACCCGCTGACTTGAGAGCCCTGGCTCTCCTTGTCATCATCACACTTGGTAGCAGCTTGCCTTCTAAGGCTGGTGATCAGGTGGCTGAGACATGGCGTCTTGTTTAGTCTCCCTTCTCTGGACACTGGTGAGGTTGAGCATCTCTCTGGGTGTCTCTTGGGTTCCCGTGAGTTCAGGTCGCTCGCTTGACTTCTGACCAGTTGTTTCCTGCCTCTTCCTTCCTGATTTGTGCTAGTTGCTGCTGTGTTCTAGAAACCTCCAGGTCAGTTTTCTTGTTGGATTTTCATTGCAGTACTGGGGAGAAGAGGGCGCATGCTAGGGAGTTGCTCTGTCACTGAAATATAGCTCTGTCCTTTTGTATTTTGAGACAGAGGCTCTCTGAGTTGTCCAGGCTGGCCTTGAACTCACTCTGTAGCCCAGGTAGGCTTTAAACTTTGGATCATCTTGAATCAGCTTCCACGTAGCTGGGATTACAAGCCTGTGCTACAACATCCAGCTTTCAGTTTTAAAAGTTGAAACACCTTCACATCTACCATCAATCTGTTGCCTTGGTCCTTTATTAAACATCATTTTATTGTGTTTTATTTATGCCACACACACAGAGGAGAGAGAGAGAGAGAGAGAGAGAGAGAGAGAGAGAGAGAGAGAGAGAGAGAGAGAGAACCAACCACCATCACCACTAATAACAACAGCAAAATGTCCCTCTCAATATCACTTTCACATTCACATTTACCTCTGGAGGTCAGAATGTCACCTGTGCACAAGTTATCCTAACTCTTCACGCCACCCTCTGCTGTCACCAGACTCTGTGGTACATCAGTGGGTGACAGGAGAATCTCATTTCTACTTCAAGATTGTCCTAGGAATCAATGGACCTCTCTTATGTCATACAGTTTACAACACTTGTTAAGGTGCTCAGTGGTTAAGAGCACGTGTTGCTCTTGCAGAAGACCTGGGTTCAGTTCCCAGAACCTACATGGCAGCTCAGAACCATCTGTAACTCCAGTTCCGAAAGATGCAACACCCTCTTCTGTCCCCATGGGCACTGCACACACATGGGGCACATACACACATGCAGGCAAACACACATACACACAAAACTAGCCACCTCCCTGTTTGCTAAGCCAGTGCTCCCACACTCTGCCATTCATTATTCTTAAAGTGGCCCTCATGCATGGATTCATTTGGGAAGAACTTACATTTCCTGTATTGCAATGAACATCGTCCTAAGTCTCATCACCTTTAATAAAAGTTAGAATTTTGTCATTAAATGTTTTTCACATTCTTTGTTAGACCTTTCCCAAGGAAACAAACTCATATTTTTTAGCCCTGAAAGGAGCGCCTGTTTCTCCTATTCTGCCTTCTAGTTAGCTGTAAAGCACACTGGATTTTTCACAAGTGATCCTTGTGGCTAATGACTTTGCTGGTGTTTTATTTTCTTGATTCTGTTGCGTTCCCATGTCTGAAGGAGACTTTGGACTATATTAAGTAACTGTGTTTTCTCAACACCGTGTCTTGTTCCAGATCATAAAATAAGGTTATGAATGGCCTCCCTATTAATATATATATATTCATAGCAAATTTGTGATATATAGACTTTATCAAAGTTAAGGAGTCCCCAGCTGTATGGCCGTTTCTTTAATAGATTTCGTGATTTTGAGTGGCACTTGATTGTTCATGAATTTACTTCTAGAGTTAATCTACCTGTATATTATATGCTTTAAAATATGCTCTTGGATTCAGGGAGTTAATATTTAATAATTAGGAAATCCAAATCAGGTAGACAATAATTTTATTTTACCACCTTATCAGATCTTGAAGCCAAATATCAACCAACACCATAAAACACAGCAGGCAGAGTCCTCTTCCTGTTTTCTGAAATATTTTGGCTCCTTGCAACTAGCCTGTGCAAATGCAGATATGGACCTTTTATCCAGGGCATATGGCATGGCCTTAGTTTTTAGTTCTTTTCATTGCTCTGTGCTGTAGACTACATTATGTATATTGTACATATTCTCCAAATCACACAGGGGTTTAAAAGGTCTTGCCTTCTTCCTTACTATATTAATCTCTTACTCTTTCTAATCTGTTATGTGAGTCAGCCCCTGCTCCTTCCCAATCCTCCATTCTCTTTCTATGTTACTTATTCCTGGTCACTTTTGCAAATGCCTTGTTTTAGTTTGGCTAAATGTCTCAATGTCACTACTCTCTGCTTCATTAATTTATGTCCTCATTTTCATGGCTTGATTTCTTATTACTTGCATCCTGTAATTGTGTGGTCCTGTTTCTAGCAACCTCAGTTGAGTGACTTGTCTTTTTGTCTGGTGATGGGCACACATCCATCTAAGCACTGATCTCTCTTCTCCCAGACGTCAGGTCAGGTCTCTTTCTTTACTCTTCTTCACTGTCTTGAATTCCTCCATATAAACACCTCTTTAGCTACGAATTATTTTCAGAGTGGTGAGAATCCTCATAAACGGAACCTCTATTAGTAATTACTGATTTATGCCATTTCGATCCGAGGCTCTCCTTACCCTCATTACTGTGGTAGCTTAGTAGATCTTTGCTGCTGTTCATCTTTGTTTGGCTGCTTAGGGTTTTGTTTGGAGGTTTTGTTGTCGTCTGTTGTTTTGTTTTTTAAGGCAAGGTCTCATTATGGAGCTCACCCTGACCTTAAACTCTCAAACCTCCTGCCTCAGTCTCCCAAGTGCTGGGATTACAAACGTGCACGACCAGAGCCTGAGAAGTTTTGTTATGTTGGGTTTTGTTGTTGTATTGCCCTCAGAGGTACAGAAAAAGGTGTAGGATCCCCTAGAACTGGAGTTAGGAATAGTTGTGAGGCACAGTGTAGGTGCTGGGAACAGAAGCGGGGTCTCTGCAAGAGCAGCCAGTGCTCTTAACCACCGAGTCATCCTTCCAGACCATTCTTTGGTTTCCTGTCTGTTGGTTAGTTCATTTCAGAGAGGTTTTTGTTGTTGGTTTGGTTTGGTTTTGGGGGGTGAATGGGTTGTTTGCCTTTTCTTTCTCTAGGTTCATATTCCTAAATTTTACCATAGTGCTATCTAGAAAGTTTTTTTTTTAATTTTACCTATGACCTCTTCCAATGTGAAGTCTTGTTCTTTATTTCTTTTTTGTTTTGTTTGTTTGTTTTTTGTTTGTTTGTTTGTTTTTTGAGACAGGGTTTCTCTGTGTAGCTTTGGAGCCTGCCTGGAACTTGCTCTGTAGACCAAGCTGGCCTCGAACTCAGAGATCTGCATGTCTCTGCCTTCCAAGTGATGGGATTAAAGGCGTGCACCACCACTGCCCAGCTCTTTGCTTTTTTTAATATTTAGTCGTTATACACATTCATATCTCCTCTGCTGAGACATCTTTCATGGACCTTGGCATTTCTTTCCCACCTAGTCTCCATCCTGGGTTCTCCCCTCATCTCTCTCCACTAATCCCCTCAGAGACCAAACCCCACCTTCAGGCTCGTCGAAACGTTCTTGGGGCCTTTGGCTCCTCTGTCCCACGCTGGTGCCGAGTCATCTACCCAAGCTGGTGGGTCTTTAGAACTGCTTGCTCTTTCTGTTTCCTTCTTTGAAGACACAGTGTCCGTTCCAAATTCATATTTGCTCCGCTCATTACTGCTGCCCCTCCCAGCGCTCTCCAACAGCTGGCTCCTCCCCTGTGGACCACGTGGCCAGGGACAACCACAGTGAAGGCAAAGAGGTCCTTGTCTCAGGACAGAGCCTCCAGCAGGGCCACCTGGCCTCAGAGGTGGCCCTGCGCTCCCAGGAGCCCCACTCTCAAGGAATCTCCCAGCTAGGTGCTTCTCCTTCTCAAACCGCTTTTACCTGGGCTTGGGGAAGAATCAAAATGGGAGAAAGTAATGGTTAGTGTTCCGTTGTTAACCTGACAGAATCTGAAATGGCCTGAGAGATAGCCTCCATGTGCACCTATAAGGCATTAATTATTCAGCTTGCCTCTGAGCGTGCCTGTGCAGGGGTTGTCTAGATTAGGTTAACTGAGGGAGAGAAAAGAGAAGGCTAGCTGAGCCTGAGCGCTCACCACTCTCCTTCCTGACTCCAGGGGCAATGCCCAGCTGCTTCAGGCTGCTGCTGCCTTGACTTGCCCGCCATGATGGACAGCACCCTGCGACTGTGAGCCAAGATCAACTCGTCTTCTCTGAACTGCCTCTGTCAGGGTATTTTCTCATGGAAACCCAAACTGATACAGGGACTCCGCCCTGTTCCTCTTGCCTTTGCTCCAGTCCAGCTCACTTCACCCTGTCTTGATGCTGACCTAAATCCAGAGGCTGGAGTGTATCTATATCTGCAGAGCTACATTTCCATCCAGGGCGACAAAAAGAGGGTACCGCCTCATGCGGAAAGTCCCTCCTTCCCTCAGCCTGGGTTCCTCTCTGCACATGCTCTACATCATTTCTACCTGAAGTTGCTTCTTTTGCTTGCATCTTCAGTTGCAGTGGGGACAAAGGCCAGCATCTCGACTTGTTGGCCAATTTTTTTCTGGAAGTGAGGTGGTTCCTTCTACCTGTCAATCAAGGTCCCTTCTGGAGCCAGAGACCAATCCGGATGATGTTGCCAAGTCCTAAAGATGAGACCCCGGGGAGGAAGGCTGGGTAGAGCCTGTGGCCTGTGGCCTCTCACCACAAGAGCCTTGCTCAGCTTTCCTGCCCCTCTTTCTAGCCATGTTGTAACCTGACACTTGAGTCCATAGTCCACTGCCTCAGTTTCCCTGCACTCCAAAAGAAATCAGAAACAGAAAGTGGCAAAGGAAAGTGAATTTTCTAGAGTTTGGACAAACAGGGGGAGAGAAAGAACCCACTCTCCCACTGCTGTGTCTCTGGCAGTGAATTTTAGGAGGAGACAAAGGCCAGGTGACACACAGATTTGGCTGTGAGGAACAGCTGACCGTCTTTTCCTGGGAGAGAGTGACGAAGCCCCAGGCTGCCTCCATTCTCAGATGGAAGGGTCTGTTCCAAAGTTCCAAGTTACACTATTACCACAGGCATCTCTCAAGCAGTATTTGTCCAGCACTGGCTGCCCAAAGCCACCAGCTTTCCCTGGCAGGAGTCTCCACTCTCCATTGCCTTCCATGTAACCCTCTCTGTCCTCTGTCTCTCCCCACAGAATTCTCTAAAGTTATCTGGGAGGCCTTTCTTTCCTCATAGACAAAACTGTGAGGTCCACAAGGTCACACAGTACACAATGGTGGGTTATGCAGTGAGTGTCTGCAGAGACTTTTCTCTGGTGGCTTAATGTCTTCTCCGGGCCTCTCCTGCCTCCTAACCCTTAAGGAGGAGTGTTCCCCAAGTCCTCAGCTCCACCCTGCCCTCTGTGGCCTTTTGATCCTGACTTCCTCAGCACTTTTCCATAGTGACTTTGTAACCCTGGACTTCTGCCTCTGCACGTCTTCCTCAGAGTGCTTTCCTTTGAATCTCGCATCTACCTGGCCCTCTCTAAGGTGGCCATTCCCTTCAAGTCCACTGTCACTGTGGTTGACAAAAGACCATGAGCAGTCACTGTAATTTCCCCAACTGGCCCTGCAGCCTCTGCTCTTCCCTTCCCCCACCCAGTCTCTGAAATGCAGACGAGCAGATATTTCACAAACAACAGTCTATAGCACCCTTCTGTGCAAGGCTGCCCATTCGTTGGCTTCAAAATCAATTCACAACAAGGCAGTTAGGATGGCAGCCTAAGCTCTGATACCCCATCCCCGCACTGTCTCTGCCTCTGGTGAGGGGTTGTTGCTCATCTCCCAAGAGGCTGTGACCCTGCTTCTCTTCAGTACTTCTGGAACCTTGCCGATTGCTCCCCCGACTAGGGTGTAAACACCTTGTCCTTCGCTTCTGTTTTTCTAACAGCTCTCAGAGTGTTCCGACCTACAGTAGAAATACTGGATGAAGGAATGAATCAATGCTCTGCTCTGTAGTTCAAAACCTGCCTCAAGTATATTTGTTATGGTGACATCTTGGTGTCAGAGTGGAAGGTCAGATAAATGTTTTTAAATTGTTATTTGACAAGTTCAAAAACAGGGAAGGGGGGCTGGAGAGATGGCTCAAAGGTTAAGAGCACCGACTGGTCTTCCAGAGGTCCTGAGTTCAATTCCCAGCAACCACATGGTGGCTCACAACCATCTGTAATAAGATCTGGCGCCCTCCTCTGTATACATAATAAATAAATAAATCTTTAAAAAAAAAAAACAGGGAAGGGACAAAGGTCTGGGGAAGAAATGGACTGCTTATTGGCTAGCTACTTACGGCTTCTGAGTAGGCATCTTTAGGAAATGCTACGCCATCTAATCACTACTGGAAAACTCCAAGAGGTTGTTTGCTTTGTTTCTTCCTGTACCAGGGAATAGAACTCAGAGCCTGTGTGCTAGACAAGTACTCTAGGAGATAAGGGCTATCCAACTGTTATATTTGTCACCCCATTGATCATCAGGATTAACGCGGCTGATTTGCTGAGCTAAGCAGGTGTCCACTTCCTCTCTCACTGCTCGTGTGTACCTTTTGCAAGCTGTACTCGATTGAAGAGGACAGTCTTTCCTAATAGAAGAGGCCCACTCTTTGGTCAAGGGTATATGAGGATCTGGATTCCCCGGGAAGAACCTCTAAACAAGCTCCTAAGGTAAGTGCTCTGCCACTGAGTTAGATCTGCAGTGCCCTAAATAGTGTGCAACCAGTGTTTTTATCCATTGTGTAGCTCTGGGGTTAAAGTATAGAAAAGGTATTTTCGCTGAGGACTCATAACTAAATGGCCGCAGCCCCGTGTTGTGCATGCATGAGCCCCTGTGTCACCCCAAATCCATGCTCTTTCCAACATATTAGGCCACATGATTGCCTGAGTAACCATATGGGTTGAAGGGGCTGGGGAGATGGCAGAAAGGTCAACAGCAACACTAATGTCAGCGCCAGACATTTCAGCTAGCATGCTTACAGAGATCCAGACATGGTTCCGTGGGCCACTCAGAGGCCACGCTGCCCAGCTCTGTGTCCAGTGGGACATGTCCATGAGAGCAGTAAGGGTGATGGTGATTTCAGGGGCTTAAGATGTTTGGAGGTGTCATTTCAGAGAGGTGTCTCCCAAGAGGTAGAAGGGGGTCTGATGTCTGCTCTCTACAAGGAAGGGTTTTCTGGCCTATGTGCAAGGAGATGTCTACACAAGTGTGGGGAGATAGTCCCTGCACATCACCCCTACTGGGACAGAGTTCTGTGGGCACCAGTATCTGTCAGGCTTTGGGAGGAAAGGCATGAAGGGAAGCAGCAGTCATCACTAGTGTGTCCCTGCCAGCAAGCCTGTGGTCTGATTCACTCACGGACATTAATTAGACAACATAATGATTTTTTTCTTTCACTTTTTCCCAAGGTGTCAGAGATGAAGGTTCCTAAGTGTGGTTTGAACAGATCAATTTTTTAGCGGAACTACCTTCTATGAGCCAAATATGGCTTCCTCAGGCTGTCCAGAACTAACAACAGGCTTTCTTCTGTTTTGCTTTCTGCTTGGAAGAAAACCAATGATCTTTCACACCATCTTTAAATTCAATGGTACTAATGCATATAACCAAATAAACTTGCATCATTAAAACAGAATATTTCTGGGATGGTTTCTAGAGATTTGTTTCCATTCTTGTTTTTTTCTTATCTTGTTCCTTTTATTTATTTTCAATCAATAAAATGGCCCTCCTGTACTGCCTTGCACTCTGATGGTCTGAGATCAGGGACTCATAGGCAGTCTAGCTATCCCAAGTTCCTCATCTGTGTCCGAGGCAGCAGCAGATAGCCAATTGATGTCCAGGTAGCTATTGCTGCTGTATTCCTTCATTACCCAATAAATCCAAAGGCACTGAGGCATTTGTCCCGGGTCCTGTTGGGGGACCTCAGGCATCATTGTAATGACTGATAGAGAAAGTCATACCCCAGAACTGCAGTCTGGCCCTGCAGAGGCTTTGGAGAGTCAGACACTAGAATTAGAAATGAGCTCAGGGAACATAGTGTTATATCCAGATGAAGAAACTGAGGTACGCACAGCTTAAAGGAGGACTGTTCCACCCCAACTCCATGTATGAGTCTGCTATAGACAGTACCCCAGCTCAATGTGCCTCTAATTCTTCATCCCCACCACCCCTCAAGAGATGGAAACCACTTCCCTAGGCTACAGTTCAGTGACGTTTTCCACAGAGACACCTTCAAAATGGCCCACCATGGTGGTAGCCTTGGCCTTGGTCTCTGGTTACTCAGCTTAGTTCTTCATGAAGTTAATGGCTCTGCTTTTCTGTAAGTCAACAAGTTCTTTATAGTTTGTATTAATGTGCACGTGTGCTGCCTGTGCTTGTGTGTGTGGTGCATGTATAGTGTGTGGGTGTGCATGTGTGGGTGGTGTCTATGTGTGAGGTGCATGTGCAAATGTGTCCACAGATGCACATAGCTGTGAACACATGGAGGCCCGAGGAGGACACCGGGTGTCCCTCCCCATTACTTGCTGTCTTCTTCCCTTAAGAGTTGTCTCCTGGGGTTACTGAAACATGAGACCACAGCCAGCTTTTTATGTGGGTGCTGGGAGTTTGGACTCAAGAGACCATGCTTACAGACAAGTGCCCTACTCCTTGGGCCGTCTCCCACCTCCATAGTTTTTGTCTTTTGATGTTTGGATGAAATGCTGTGTCTTGAAGAGTCTCCCCCATAGACAGAGCAATGCAGGGAAGATGGGTGTTGGGGCGGGAGCCCCAACGGTCCATTTGTCCCCAGGAATGCCCCTCTGACAATTGCGCCTGGAAACTAACAGAAGTGTCAGAAGCAGTACCTGGACCTTGGGAAAGGCCCCACCACTGATGACAGCCAAACCCACAACAGCCTCATGCTGGCCCTGTGCTTGCTCTCAGTGCTGAGCATCCGGAGGATGAGAGTCCACCCAGTTTCCGGGAAGGATGCGTAGGGTGAACAGGGCAGGAGAGCTGGCCCTTAGGGAACCCATGCTTCAGTGTGAGATGGTTACCACCATGGCAGAGCCTGGAGCATGGTCAGCCAGATGAGTGTCTTTCTGTCCTTCTGGACCACAAGATAATGGTGGCATGGGAGACTGCAGAGACAGGTCCCTGAGCACCCCACTGCAGGGAATAAACGCTGGTGCCTATGCCGGCAGTCTACTGGAATGGACATTTTGGTTTAACCAAGCGTGTTCCGAAGCTAAATTTAAGACATGGAGGAGGAGGAGGAGTGGGTGGGCTCTCTACTGGAAGATAAGGAGGGTGCCTACATTTTCCTTGTCCTTCACACAGAGCCTTCTTGGTACCTCAGCCCCACAGTGGAATACCTGGGGTGTGATATGGGCTCATTTTATTTAGCTTTGTTCTGAGTTTGGGAGACAGGATCTCTCTCTGCGGCCCAAGCGGGCCTTCAACTCACAGATGTCTTCCTACTTCACCTCCCAAGTGCTGGGCCCAGTGCTGAGTCAGTACGGACCACCTCGCCTGCCTGGGATAGCACTGCTTACTTGCTCATTCGGGTCACTGGCATTTCAGCTTTTTGTTTAGATACACGTGCAGTGGATGCTCTGCTCTGGCTCCAGAGTTTTGGCCGACACCTCACTGACGTACCCCCACCTACAGAGCTTGCATCCATCCTGACACCAAGTGAAGCCATGAACATTAGAGCCAAGACTCTTGGGTCCAATCACAGAATCTGACTCTGGCCAACTTAGAAATGGAATTCTGGGGAGGAAATACGGTGTCTCCCAGGACTGACCAGACACACGGGGGGAGGAAGCCAAGTTTGAGCCAGGCACGGCAGCATGTGCCTGTAATCCCAACACTCGACAGGAGGATTACCAGTTTGGGTCCAGCCTGGACTACATAGTGAGTCCCTGTCTCGGGGTACAAGCCACAGAAAGAATACAAGCTACATTTATTCTACAGGAAGATCCTGACCTGGACTGCACAGTGAGCAGCAACAGTGGCATTTTCCACACTTCCGCTGCCTCTGCTGCCCTCAGATCAAAGACCATCCCACCCCAATCTCACATGGGCAGCTCACTCGTCACTTTAGGGCCCTCGGGGGCCTTTGTTGGCTTCCTGGCCTGGCCACCAGCAGCAGTGGCAGCGGCGGCGGCGGCGGCGGCGGCGGCAGCTCATACAGTGGAGATCCCCATCATAGGAAGGCTACTCAAATGCCGGGCAACCAGAACAAACAGAAAGTCTTCCACACAGAGGCCAGTGAGGGGTACAGGAGGGAGGTGAAAAGGCCCAGTCTCATCATTCAGTGTCCCAAAGGCAGCAAGAAATGTCACCTCTCTTAAGGTTGCTTCACCCAGTGAATCGGGACATGCTTTGTTGGCTGAAAGACACAGCCAACCAGCCTCCTATTTATTTACTGGGTAATGAGAGGCCAATTAAGCAGGCAAGGTATAGGTCCCCTGCAGCTAACCACACCATCCAAGTGGACCTGGATTCTGTCAGCTCAGCCTTGAATAAATCCTCCTTGGGTCTTGGTCTCCCAGCTGTTGCCAGCATTTCAGGGCTCTGTGGACCTGTATTTGAGGAAGTGAAGGGCTGTGTAAATGTTGACTGCTAATAACAAACCATCCACAGAACGTGTGTGCATCACCTGGGCAACCCAGTGGCTTTAACAATCTTAAGTGGCTCTTGTTCTGATTCATTGCAATCTATGCATTTAACTCCCAGAACAAATTTAGCCCTCAAAATATCTTGGTACATTTTCTACCCACCCCTTAACATTTAAACACTCAATCTTCCACGCCACTTCAACATCTCTGCATCACCTGCTCCCCAGCACACCCGCGTCCTTTTCTCCTCCAGCCACCAGCCTGTCCCCCCACCCTTCCTCCACAGGGGACCAAAGCCACCAGAGCAAGGCTTGCTGGGCCTGCTCCAGCAGAACACGGAGGGCAGAAGGAAGGATGCCACTAGGGAAGCAGAGGAGCTGAAACAGGGTCAGAGTCAAAGTCAACAACTACAAAACCCCCACCCACCCACCCACCCGCTGTGGGCATGAAGATCGACACAGGACCCCGTTTTCAGCATCTGTCTCATTCTTTCCAGTCACTGACTTGAGCCCTGGCATCAGCGGCAGTGAGGTCATCTCCAGGCTCATTGGAGCTCAAAGCGCATCAGAAAAATGATGGAGCTGCTTTACTGGAAACATTTGCCTTAGCGATGCGTGGTCCAGGCCTCACTAACTCTTTTTTTTTTTTTTTTTTTTTTAGCACAAATTTTCCCTCTCCAGGATTTGAAACACAGGGTTAAGGTAAAATAGGTGAGTTGCTAAAGAGAAGGCTGAAGAGTCTTCCAAGTGTTTGCAGCAGAGAAACGAGGACCTTGAGGGATGTTTGCCTCCTCTGAGAGCCTCAGCCATGGGCTCCTCCACACTTGGCCAGCGCTCTGATGGGAAACGGTTTCAGAACAGCAGGGACTACCATCTCCAAAGCTCATAAAAGGGATAGAAAACATTTCTCGAGTACTTGATACTTGCCAGGAACTGTTCTAAGTATTTGCACATGAATTAACTCAGTTAATCTTCACAACCCTATGGAGGAGAGAGGATTATTTTTATTCATCTTATAGAAGGAAAAAATTCAGGTGCAACGACATTAGGTAACTGGTCCTGAGCTCCCCTTCAAGCTCACAAAGCACCCACAAGGTGCCCAGAAGGCAAAATAAACCAAAGCAATGGGATTTTGTCCCTTCATCCCCACGTCTCTTTCCAGGTGCCCCTCCCGGGATGGGAAGATTAATTCCATCTGTGAGGGTGGGGTGGGATCAGGATGCAGCAAGTAGGATCACCCCCCTCCCCCATGAAACTCAAGCCAGGATCAGGTCACCAATCCCTTTTAAACTATATGAAACCGCTTTGTTTTCAAGGCACCAGAAGTTCTTTCTGTCCTGGCTCCTGGGTCCTCCCTCACTCGCCTCAAACATTTCTATCTCCAAAGTGGAGCACTTCTCATATCCTTTAAAAGACACTTCCCAAACCCACAGAGTCCTTCTTTTTAGGTAAACAACACAAGAGCGGATGCTCTTCCATGTTCCCCACACTCTCTCAGATCTACTTATTCAGAACAACCAGGGTTTTTGAAATGTTAACCCTTGCTAGCCTGGCCTATGAGAAACTGTCCAAATCCTCCAGCCTGGTGAAAGGCGAGATTCACTCTGTGGTTTCAGGCCTATGTTGATGTGAACTAAATAAAAACCTCTTTTCTTTATAAGTTACCCAGCCTTGGATGTATCAAACCCACCATCAGAGAACACAGAGGGATGTACACATGCAGCCTAGTATTCCGCTCATGCTCACAATTAAGATGCATGTTCCCATGTCACTCAGCATGATGCAGACAGTCTCAGAAGCTGGCCCTAATCTAGATAATCCTCACAAGCGTGCCCAGAGGCCTGCTTTATAGGTGACTCCAGAGTCTGTCAAGTTGACTGTTAACACTACCAATCATCTACCTAACTTTCTGATGCACCCCATCCCCCTTCCTGGACACTTATACCGCTGTACACACTGTACACAATGTATGCTGTGCATTTCATTTGTTTATTTTTTGCTGGTTGTGCCTCGTGTTGCTTGGGTTTTGTCAACTTGACACAAGATCAGGTCATCTGAGAAGAGGGGACCTCATTGAGGAAACGCTCCCATCAGATTGGCTTGTAAACAGGTCTGTAGGGTATTTTTTTTTTTGATTGATTGGTTGGTTGGTTAGTTGATTGATGATTGATATAGGAGGATCAACTCCACTGTGGATGGTACTATCCCCTGGGGCAGCTGGCCATGGGTTATAAAAATAAATAAATAAATAAATAAATACATAAATACATAAATACATAAATACATAAATACATAAGTACATAAGTACATAAATACATAAATAAATATGCAACCTGAGCAAGCCATGAGGATCAAGCCAAAAATCAGGGCCCCTCTACGGTCTCCACCTCAGTTCCTGCCTCTAGGTCCCTGCCTTGAGTTCCTCCTTGACTTCTTTTCATAACAGACCCACAACTGTAAGGTGAGATACACCCTTCCTCCCAAGTCGCTTTCGGTCATGATGTTTTGTCACAGAGAAAGAAACCCGACCAATGCACTCCTCCAGTGCATTGTAAGCTCCACGAGAGACATTTTGATTGTCTTGTCCACTGCTCTGCTTAGAACAGCATCTAACATGTGACATACGCAATGGGATGTCGTCCAGTGTTACTGTGTTAGGAGCAGGGCTTGCTCATGGAGATCCAGGGGAGCACACAGCCATTCTATAGAATGTCATTCCATCAATGGCTTCATAGGTAAGCAGATGTTCCCTAATTGCCCTGGATTGTGTCCTCCGTCAGCAGCAGGGACGGAGAAAACGCAGCCCGGGCTTGTTACTCTCTGTGCCTCAGTCTAATCAGCCCTGTGTACTCCATCCTGTGCAGAATAAGATCTGAGCGTGGTTTGGATCCCACAACTAAGGAGCCATTATGTAGTGTGCGGCCCTGCAAGCAGGAGGATTGCAGGGCCTCCTGGGGCTGCGGCTGCAATTAGTGCCCTCAGGCAATTATGGCCTGGCTTCTGCCGCCTTCCCCCGCCCTCACTGCTTCTTTCTTGGCTCCCACACCAGGCCAGCACAGGAACACACTGCCTTGGACAGTGTTCCAGCTCTCACCTAAACGTTGGAACCGACAATCAGCTGAGTCTCCAATGCAGGCAGCGGGAGCAGCTTGATCAGTCCCCCCTCCGAGTCCACGACAGCACTGCCCCTGGACCCTTCCTAACCAACCCCCACCACACACACACACACACACACACACACACGTTCTTCAAGCCTGCACATTCCCATGCCTTGTCTCCCTTTCCTTCGGAGGTGTCACATTGCCCAGCCAGCTCCTAAGTGGCATTCTTTCTTTTCTGTGACTCAAAAACACTAAATATGTGGCATCCAGAACTTGGTATGGCTGTGGCTATGGACTGACACTTGGTCCACTGTATCCTTGGGTTAAATATCTGTGGTTTCAACCACACCGTGAATCTAAAGGTTCTAGAAAAATGTCTATACCTATCACATATAAACTTCCTCCCCATTACTTATCCCTAAATAGTACAGTGTAGCAAGCATTCACATTGTATTACTCATAATTCATAATTAGAGAGATTTAAAATGTGTGTGTGTGTGTGTGTGTGTGTGTGTGTGTGTGTGTGTGTAACATGCAACTGCTGTGCCATTTTATAGAAGGGACTTGAGTGTCCTCAGGTGTCGCTGTCTAAGAGTCGGTGTCTGGTGAATGCTGGGGGGGACTTATTTCTCCCCCTCTCAGCAGAAACCCCTAGAGGCTGGTACTGTTTCCTTTTGCTCCTGTGCCTAGCATAAGGTTTGGTATACAGGAGGATAGTGAATTTGGGGTTATAATAAACAAGAGAAGGAAGGAGAATGGGGGGCAGGGAGGGAATGCTTTCAAAGGGCTAGTCCAAGAATGGTGGGCGAGGGGACATTGTGACAAAAGAACAGAGTCTGGGAAAGGAGGTGTTTCCTGTCCTGGGCAAGGGTCCGACAGGACCCATGTGGCATGTGAGCCTGGATCGTGGTTCACCAGCCATAACTCTGAACAATGGGGTCGCCACACTGGGACTCACCTTTGTCACCTGAGTAGGTGGCGGGCAGCTTCAAGAAGTTGTCAGAGTCCCTCCAGTTTAGTATGTTACAGCTTTCAAACCAATTCTTGGCTGGCAAATTTGATACTTTTAGAAAATATGCCTCCTGTCCACATCTTAGATTGCCCAAGGGTTTCCCCTTGTGGGACAACTAAGGGCAAAGCTTGCAACCACTCGTCTAGACTGAGTTATGAGCCAATGGATCACGGCCCTGGGCGACATTGGCTCTCATAGAATGACCCTGGCCAGCAGAGTCCTGGGATTCACTCCAAGCAGGACTCCACAGCTTTGAAACCCTCGCACAAACGCTTAACTGACTCTTCATGTTCTGGGTGATGGAGGGGAGCGAATTGAGCGCCACTGTACTTCAGGGGAGGAAAGTACCTGGGGATCAAGAAAGACGAGATCAGAGAGATGAAATGAATTGTGTCGTATGTGATCTCAAATATCATATTGCTCTTGTCTTGCCTGGAGCAAAAGAGATGAGAAAACGGCTCCAGATAATACAGTAGTGAAAGGGAGGAGTAGATGCTGCCCGACCCAGAGGAAATCCCAGCTGTGACTCTCACCATCCCTGGAGCCTTGGCCTCTTCATCCGAAGGGGTCAGAGTGGGTTGAGGGGGGCACAGTGACAGAATACTTGACAAACATGAGTGAAACTCTGGGTTCAGACCCCCAGCACCACAAGAAAACAAAAATGTTCTTGCCGGGTTTGGTGGCATAGACCTGTAGCACCTGGAAATAGGAGTATCCCAAGTCAACCTGGGCTACATAGCAAGAACAATGAAGGGCATATATGAGGGAGGGCTGGTGAGGTAATACATCCCATAGTGATATCACAGCCTTGCTAGTTTGTGTGTGGCCACTCTATGGCAACGTCACCTATTGATGTGTATCACAGAATATGGCCTGTCATCAAGCAGCATGTGACTAAATGTGAGTGATCACAGCACCTACTTCAAGGGGTTACAGTGGGAGAATAGACTGAGTGACACAATTCTCATATATAGATGCTGAGACTGTTGAAGGAATGACTGATGGAGGACAGACACACAGCCTCAAGCATCCGTCCACAGACTGCTTACTAACTGCAAAGCAAAACACCTCCATCATGCAGGCTCCCGGAAAACCGTCCTGTAGCCCAGGGAGCCCCGCATCCTCAAGGAGGGGACATGGTGACATTTTACACCTCCGGAGGTGATACACGGAGAACAGAACACTCATGTGTCTTCTGACAACAGTGTTTGACATGACCTGTCCTGAGGCAGCATCGCACAAATCCAAGCAGCCATTTAGCCGGGTGGCTCACTTATGGCCTTCTTTGAAACGTCAGTGCCATGAAAAGCAGGGGATTTGGAAAGGGCTCTAACCAAAGAAGGCCAGAGGGATGGGGGAAGTAAGTGCAGTGTGATGGCAAGATTCCGAACTGAAAGAATGAAAGAGAGGGGAGGAGGGAGGAAGGAAGAAGAGAGGTGATTAGGGAGAAAACCTTTAGGATTTGCATAAGAATCACTGTGGTCTGAAACCCCAGGCAGAGGTTAAGGCTGGGGACGTTGTGGAGGTGATAAGGTCACGGGGACTCTCCCCAAACTGATGGACTAGTGCGGGTGTCATGAGAAGAGGGTAATTATCACAGGAGTGGGGTCCTGAGGAAGCTCACCCCCACTTCTACCATTTCACCATGAATGACAGACACACGAGGCACCCCTCCAAATGGTGCCCGGATCTCAGAGTTCCCAAGCTTCAGAATTATTTGTAATACATACACCACAGAGTAGGTAATTTAAAGAAAAACTTTGTGTGAGAGTGTGTGTGTGTACACATATACATATACACACATATTTAATATGTATTTGTGTGTACATAGATATGTGGAAAGAACAAAATATAAAGTATAAAAATAAGCATTTAGAACTGGATGTTTCGTTTCATATTTTAGATTTTGTTTTAGATTGATCTGTTTCATCATTTTACGTGTATGCGTGTTTTGCCTGAGTGTATGTCAGCACATCATTTGTGTATATGGTACCCACGGAGTCAGAAAAGGGCATCAGATCTCCTGGAAATGGAGTTACAGAATGTGAGTGGATTGACCCCCTACTCGCCACATCTCTCTACTTCCTGGTATATTCTTACAACTGTATTTAGGTTTGGGGTTTTGAAATAAAGATTCGAAGGCGGGATAATGCATATAAAGCTCTTACCACACACTAAAGGCTGGATTGGTGGTAATAGGGTGTGCTGGCGATGGTGGGGCTAACGTTATGAGGATCTAAAATACCTGTCACATCCCAACATCACAGATTCTTCTACTCCACATGGGGTGTCTCAAGCCACTAGTTTATTCTGGGGTTCAGTTTTCCTATCTGTGGAACAAGGGCCCATCGTAACCATACATGGGATGGCAAAGAGAAAAGGGATTATGAGAGGATAAGGAAGATTAAATGTGTAAGGAGTAAACTAAATCATTGGAGAAGTGGAGGTAAATCTACCCACATTACCATGATGATGAAAACGAAACCCTCTGATTATTCACGGAAGCAATCTCCTCATGCTTTTCACTCTCTTTTATCCCCTTTCACGCTCTGATAAAAGTATTGTTTCTCTGTGCTATTTAAATGTCCTATGAAGCTTTACTATAGAAAAGGAATGTTTGTTTTAAAAGAGAATTAGGCCCCACTGGATAGACAACACCACCCCATAAATACTGGTTGGATAGATAGTTCACTCTATGCCAGGTTCTTGGGGTGCAGGAAGAGCAGTAAGAACTTTTTCTGTCTTTGCTAGAATGGATCACAACCTAGCAGGGAAGAAATGCATAATCAATAAACCAGAAAAGCCATTTCGTCTCCTAACTGAACACTGTGTAGAATGTAGAGCAGAGTAAGTAAGTACGTTCATAGTAAGAAGTACCTACTGGGGCTGGAGAAATGGCTCAGCCAGTAAGAGCACTGGCTGCTCTCTCAGAGGTCCCAGGTTTGATTTCTGGTACTCCCCTGTGCCTCACAACCATCTCTAACTCTATTTCCAGGGTATCTGACATCTTCTTCTGAACTCCATGGGTACCAGACACACATGTAGTGCACATACATGCAGACAAAAAAAATCCATACACACAAAAAGATAATAATAAAATCATTTTAAAAATAAGGTATCCACTAAAGCATGGATTAATGAAAGAAGAATAAATGGATAGGTGAATAGGTGGATTATAGATATGGATGGATGGATGGATGGATGGATGGATGGATGGATGGATGGATGGATGGATGGATGGATGAACAGTTGTCCATGGGGGTCGGTTATGAGTAACTCCAAATCCAAACATAGTTTAAGTGGTGATGTCCGGAGAATTGCTTCCTTAATGCATGTGTCTACACCAGAACCCACAGTGGCTGTCGTAGCTCCCGGATTTTTGTGCAGGGAAAGAGGTTCACAATTCCTGGAATCAGTAGGGAAACAAAAGAAAACCAAAGCTTAGACACAGCATAATTTAAAACGGTGCTTGAGAAAGAAACTGATGCTGGATGCCATATCTTAATTTTGTTGTAATCATATCTTTTCCTAAGAACTGTAAAGTCTGGGTTATAATTAAGACATAGCCTAATAGTTAAACTGTTGATCTAATAATGAGTTTTCTTTTAGGAAAAGGAAAATAATATGGCTGAATCATCCTCTCATTTCTCCCCAGTCACGCAGAGCCCGAAGTCAGTTTATTCCTCTTCCCTCTATGGGTCCTCAAATTGGTGAGGGCAGGGTTGCATACACTCTAGGAGGAGTCACGTGGCCTCTGGAGAGTGCCTTGCTGCCCCCCGGAATGCATGATCGCTGAAGACAATAAAAGCTTCTTTCACTGGGAAGCAATGGAGTCAGCAACCAATGAAGCCATTCTAAACGAGACCTTGGGCAACCTCATCAATCTTTCTTAACATCAATTTCTTAGTGTGGTGGCAATCTTCGATGTCCACTTGACGAGCTCTAGACTCACCAGTAGGTGGTGAGACCCACCTCTAGGTGTGTCACAGAGAGGCTTAACTAAGGAAGAGAGAATCCCTTTGAGTGTGAGTGACACCATCCCATGGGCTATAAAGAGAAAACGGAGGCCAGCTGCCTGTCTCCTGGCCTACACGAAGTGAAGGGCGCTCTCCGCTACACCTGTTCCTGCCATCTGAGCACCTGGGCTGGGTGACCTCAGACTGGATGCCCTGAATCCAGGAGTCAAATGAAACCCTCCTCCCTTCGGCCACTTTTGTTGGGTAATCTGTCATAGTGGGGGGAAAAACTACTACTCTTACTCTGTGAGCAGCAAGCAGAGGCCCTACAGGGTGGCTCATGACCATCTGTAATTCCAGCCGCAGCTGTAATTCCACTCTCTTCTGGCCTCCATTACACACATGTGATGCGCAGACATGTATGCAGGCAAGCATCCATACACATTAAATAAAACTAAATGCGTCTATTTTTAAAAAGAAAGGAAAGGCAACAATTGAGAACTCAATGTATACTGTTCAACTGAAAGAGGCTTTGTGCTCTCACTCCCCTGACCAGCCAGGAACACAGCCCCGCACTCTGCTGGATTCAGTGCTTTCACCTGGAAAAGGACTTTCATCATCATCTCCAAGGACCCCTCCAATCTAAGATCACTATTAAAACAAGATCCCAGGGAGGAGGTGAAGTAAGCCTGATTAAGAAGACACTCCCAGGGCCTAGAGAGATGGCTCAGCAGTTAGGAGCACTTAAGTCCACTTGCAGGGGACTGGAGTTCAGATCCCAGCGAAAACAGTTTCCCTCGCGCTTCTTTTCCAACACAGGGCTAGAAGCAATTCAATACAAACAAAACAGATGAGATAAAAGTTGTCAGACTGGAAAAAAGAAAGAAGTCTCCTCCTTTGCATATGATATGATTGCAGTAACTTCCGAAACTATCCCTAGAGCCGATCAGTGGATGCAACAATGTTTCAAGAGACAAAATAAATGTGTTTCGTTTCTGTATACTACTGGGGAATCCCGGGCCATCTAAAACAAAACAGGCTATCTTTACAGTCGCTCAAGGAAAACTGAAAAGGAAACCTTTGGGTGTAAATGTAACAAAGCATGGTCATGACTTCGGCTCAGTTCATTTGGGTTGCTGTAGTATAAAACTCATCAGCCAGTGAAATTCTTTTTTCATGGTCTGGGAGGCTGGGAAGTACAAGATCAAAACACCAGCAGATTCGGTGTCTGGAGAGAGCTGCTCTCTGCTTCACAGATGGCTTTCTCCGGCTGTGTCCTCGAGTGCAGGACAGTAAACAAGTTCCCCATGTCCTGTTTAATCCGGTTCTTATTATTCCTGTATTACTCGGGGTTCTTTGGAAGACCGACAGAATAGACTCAGGGTATTTATCAGATCTGCTTACACTGTGTAGTCTGGGTAGCCCAACAGCAGCCGTCTTCACAGTGGACAGACTGAGCCCAGTCTTCAGTCAGCAATGGAAGCCAAGTTCTGACATCAGCCGAGGAATGCAAAAGAAGCAGCAGCAGTGGAAACATGAGGTAGACGAACTCAGTGAGATGTGAAGGCAACGAGGCAAACCGCCGGGCTGTGCCCACCAGCCCGCTTTTATCTGGACTGCCACAGGAAGGAAACCACCCACACTTCAAATAACCTGATTAATAACACCCTCCAGGAGCTCATCTCTCAACTGATTGAAGACCCAGTCAAGTTGAAAACCAAGACTAACCATCCCAGGAACTGATCCCAGCCATGACCTAGTCATCTCCCAGA